ATTTTTAGGTGGTTCTCGAAAGTTCATATTGAAAAATTCATCCCAAATAGGTCCTTTTAGATTCACAATATACTAAGGGAGCATAAGTTATATGCTCTACACTGTATTTGAAGACCAATATAGAAAATTTTACTTTGCTTATTTTCCCCCTCTATCTCGGAGGGACTCCAGAAAAGAGGGAAAATAAAGATGAAACAGTCTAATGTTGGGGATAGCTGACAACCATAATTATTTCAAAATCGAAATGGTTCACACTTATCAAGAAATCAACCTACAGAAGTCCGATGTTTCCTGACATTGAAATGTACTAGCGCACTGGAATTCGTAATTCAACAAATAAAAAAAGTCAGCTGTGACAACAACGAAATGTGGAATGTCGGAATTTATAAAAAAAAAAAACACAAAGAAAAAGACTGCCATAAAATTGAGGAAATTTTAGACTATGTGATAATTCCACCAATTATTTTGCATTTTGTACGTAACTTTTCTTATTATTGTTTCATCAACTTTTGGAACGCCAGTAGCATTGTGAACACTTGAGCCGAAGAATTTAGTAGTTTCTTTTAGAGTTAATTACCCGAGAAAATATTTGATAATATTGTATGCTTCCTATATGCCTGGAAATTAAAACAAAAGTTGGTCAACACGACTTTTTATTTTTGGACAAAATTTTCCTTCTGTCCAAGGATGTGATCCTCAAACCTCTTTTTAATTTTATTTTACTTTTGTTTTGTATTTATTAGAGCAGTGTCCGACATTTAAGAGGCATTGCCCAGCAGTTTGAGGATGGGAACCTCAGACCACTCTCTGGACTAAGAAAAAACGTGCTAATGCGATCCGAGGTCTTCATACTCCGACAACTTATTCTTTGTATTTTGTAAAGAATAAGTGGTTTGAGGATGGCAACCTTAAACCACCTTGGCACTGGATTACTTAGTCTAGAGTAAGCAGTCCGAGGGTGGGAACCTCAGACCACCCTAGCACCTTTCTTTTCTTAGTCCAGAGAACAGTTTGAGGTCCTCATCCTTAGATCGCTTATTCTAGTATTTCTAGAAACAATAAGACGTCCAAGAATGTGAACCTCTAACCGCTCTATGGACTAAGAAAAATAAGTCTTAGGGAGGTTCGAGGTTCTTTTTCTTGGACCACTTGTTTTTTTACAAAATTACAAGAACAAGCATTTTTTTGCAAGGAGAAAGCAGTCTAAGGATGACATCCTTGGACCGCGACATAATTTTTTCAAAAGAAAAAAAAAATGATCGCATTGATCGACTTTAGTTGTACTTTTTGAGTATATAGGGAGCATACCTTATTTTCAGATATTTTTTTTATAAGTAATTAACTCTTTCTTTTAAGAGTGAAAAACTTCATTTCATGCATATATCACGTCTCGTGTAGTCGCACGTTTGAATTTGCTTCCTTGAGAGCTATTTAAGTTATGTTTTCAAGTGGAAGATAAGGATCACTGAAAGGGTGTGGTTTCGACTTGTACAATCCAATTAAGGCATACCACCAAATTTTTTCATAACATATAATTTTGTTTTAAAGAATTATTACGATTATCTCAAAATCTATTATTGTATCTAATTATAAAATTTTGAACTTTAAAAAAGGTTAAAATCAAGCAAATCTATAAACATATAGAAATTTTTAGAATGGACAGTCCAAATGTTTTTTTGAAAAAATTACAAAAATACCCCAAGACTACACTTTCTAGGCAACTTACACCCAACCTAACTTTTTCTCTCACTTTTTTTCGCAAAATACATTTTCTATGCAAATACCCCCAACCAAAAAAGAAATCAAAAAAATACCTAAACTACCCTCCCTTACGTTTACCTTACCCAGGCCTCTCTCCTCTATCCCACAAAAATAGGACTCCGGTACTGTTAAGTTGCGGTCGGGCAATAGAATACTCTCTAAAGGGCAGTTTGACAATAGATGTTTGCGGTCTGGCAGTTGTAAAGGGTGGTCCGACCGTAGATGTTACTGGATTCCGGTGCTCCGGCATTATGTAAAATGCGGTCCGACAGTTTCGGTCTGGTAATGGTCTTAAGCCGGTCCAGCACTTGAATTTTTGTAAAGGACGGGCTGGCAATGCGATGGTGTGCTCCGGCAATGTGCTACTGGGTCCAAAAGTTAACGTCAAATCTGGCATAGAAAAGAACTTTTTTTCTTCAGGGTATTTGCATATAAAGTTTGTTTTGGGGATAAAAGTGATGAAAAAGGTTAGGTTGGGCGTAAGTTGCATAGAAAGTGTGATCCTGAATGTTTTTTTTGTAAGTTTCCATTTATTGTTTTTCATATTTATACATCTTGAAGTCAAGATGATCAATTAGAGATTTTTTCTACATTGAAAGAACCCTTTCCGATGGATTTTTGAAGTGCATCTTTACTTCTAAGGTGGAAACCTTATATAACCTTTTTTGATATTTAAATATGACTACCCAAAAAAGAAAGACGTTGTACCCAATCTTGAGAAATTTTGTTTTCTACCGGCATACTAAGTACATTTAAAATTTAGAAAGGTTTATATATATAGAAGCAAGGTTCGCATCGAAATCTTTTTTTTTTTTTTCAGCGCACGTAACTTTTATTCAATAATAAACTCAATTACAATGATAAGGATGAAAGAAACAGTCGGCATGAATCCCATCTTTAACAAGAAGATCAACTCTCTCATTAGCCTCCCTGTAAACATAGTTGAAGGCGACCACCTGATTTTTGCATAAGTCCGCAACGAAAACTTTCTTAAACTCCCTAGAGACTTACTCTTCCCCAAACACCAGTTTACAAACTTCAGAGAATCCCCTTCCACCTCCCATCCCACACACAGAAATTGTTCCTTCATGAATTTAATTCTTTGTAAAACCGATAAAAACTTAACGGTATTGGTTGTTATAATCCCACATGGGTTAGAATAGAAGAAAATTCCCCTGCCTAAAAAATCTGATAATACACCTCCCATCCCCACTGAAGTAAGAGGATTCTTCAATTGATCATCTTGACCTTAAGATGTATAATATAAAGAAGATAAATTATTCCAAGTCCTAAGCATAATTCATATGGTAAGAAGTTATCTAGATTTTTTATTTTAAGATTTTAAGTGTTTATAGATATGCTTAATATGTACCGTCTTTGAAATTTTAAATTTCATAATTAAGCTGGAATATGGAATTTCAAACCATCGTAAGGTTTTAAACACCAAAACTACATTCTTTTGCTAAAAATTTAAAGGTTCACCGAAGGTGCTCACCTTACATATACCGCACCCTACATATACCTCACCCATAAAATTTACTTCACCATGTAGATAGTTCTGCCAGCAGTCATGTAGATCGTTCTGCCAGCCGTTTTTAGTTTTCCTATATTGTCCCTACTATGTAAAGTGTTTATGGTTTAGGATTTAGGATATTTCTATATTACACAAACCCTATTTTGAAAAGTGTCTCAGGGTTTACGATTTAGGGTTTCGGGGTTTGGGGTTCAAGGTCTAGGGTTTCAGGGTTTAGGTATTAGGGTTTAGAAACTAGATGGAGAAAATAAATAATCAAAGCGGTCTGACTTTTTGTGTAATTTTTTATCAAAACTGACCCATTATGTATTTTATTATATTATTTGTGTCCGTATGTAAATTACTCTAATTATTTACTTGGGTGTTATTAAAATCGAATAACCGGAGGAAATGCTCCCTCGGAGCTCAAAATCTTTAGGGCACGTTTGATTGTTGATGATCCTCTTGCACAAATTGGTAGGGGTGGCTTCCAAACCTAATATTTTTTGTGACGTTGTTTACGGAAGCTGTTGGAACCTGTGAGTTGTGAATTACAGCTTCCAGTGGAGCCAAGAAATGTGGGCGTCTAATTTGGAGGATCTTGGATATTCGATCCCTCACTTCCGAAAAATTTCAGCAAACAAACACCCCCCTTGGTCCCCCGGGAGCGACTACTCATTTCCGCCAGTCGATGGCAGAGCATATTAGAGTGTAGAGAGAGAAGATGATAGAAATAGAACCCCATTTTCGATTCACGGGAGTGAATTGTCTCCTTTATATAATAATTGAATCAGAGCTCTTTTGCCTCTTCATTTCTCTTTCATAGCATTCCAGTAGAGAGAGAAAGAGTGTGAGAGAGAGAGAGAGAGAGTAATCTTTTCCCAAAGAACAGGGTCCTTGTTTCTGTTGGACATTCTAGAGAGAGAGAAAGAGCGATTTTCTTCCCAAGGAGATAACCGAAACACAGAATTCCCACATTTGGCTGGAAATTACAGAGAGAGAGAGAGCGAGAGAGTGGCGTTCTTGGGCAAGGAAAGAAGTGGCAGTGGTCTTCCACATTGAGATCTCTGTTGAAATATGTAGAGAGAGAAAGTGAAACAGACTTGCCTTCTTGCTCTTGGCATAAAGAATCGTTTCACCATCTGGGGTTCTTCGCTAGGGGATTCTTTGGACGACGGGAGTTTGGATCGTCCTTTCTTGGAGATCTCTAGAGGAAGCACATCCCCTCTAGTTCTTAGCTCGCCCAAACCACAGAACACTGATTACTGAGCCATTGCAATACATTTCAGCTTCTTGATTTCCACCTCTGCTGATTTTAGTGATTAATTTCTCGCCCCCTGGTTAATCTCTCACCCCCAACCACAGGCCAGCTTTAAGCCTGAAGAAGAGGGACAAAAATTCCGTGTTCTTGAGGTTTCCTCTTCTTAGAAATTCTAGAGAGAGAAAGTGACAGAGAAATACAGGCATCTGAGAGAGAATGGCTTCCGAGCAAGCCAGTAGCAGCAATACAAATGAGGGGGGAGAAGGAGTGGGAACGAGTGAAATTACAGAGGTAGAGAGCGAAACTGAAAACAACAACAACCATGAGAGCTGGACACTGATACCCGTGAATTTGGAGTGGATGGGAGCGAAAGAGATGGCGGACGGTAAGTTCACGGCGGTTGTGTACAATGAAAACACCCCTTCATTACAAGAGAAACTCGTGCTAAAGACCTTCCATACCAGAGAGGAGGCAGCACGTGCACAAGAAGAGTCTATCGGGAAGCATCCGAATGCTTACGAACATGCGTTGATGGTGAACCTCATGTGGCGTATGGAAGAAGAGGGAGCGGATGAAGCAGGCATTAGCAGCACGACACAGGAGAGGGAAGAAGGAGAGGGAAGGGGTGAAATTACAGAGGTAGTGAGAGAAACTGGAAACAATAGGAAGGAGAAGAGATGGAAACAGTTGCCGAATAACTGGAATTGGTTGGACGTGAAGGAGACAGCGGATGGAAAGTTTGCGACCGCTGTTGCTGTTGAAACCAGCCATTCAAAACTGACGCTTGTAAGAAAGAGTTTCGATACCCGAGAGCAGGCGGTACGCGCACATGAAGGGTCTTACAGCAGGCATGGAACAGATTTTGATGATGCCTTGATCATCGACCGGCAGTGCGTGTGGGTGGATGAGAGAGAAAAGAAGGGCCTGTTTCAGGGGTTCAAAGATAGCTTCAAGAAGATGATGGTATGCGTGCATAAACCCCTATATTTCATTTTCTTGTTTCTTTTGTTTGTTCCTTTTCTTTGCTTCTCTCTCTCTCTCTCTCCTTTGATCTTCTAGTTCGCTCTGGTTCCATGTTCTTTATCCTCTCTCTCTGGTTATTTGATTGTTCTTACTTCTTTGAATCAATTTCTTTTTTAAGGTTTCTCTCTCTCTCTAGTTGTTTGATTGTTCTTACTTCTTTGAATCAATTTCTTTTTTAAGGTTTGCGAGTCTAAGAAGTATAAGGAGAAGCAGGATTGAGGAAAGAGAAAAACAAGACAGAAATGTGGAAGCTCTAGAAGAGAAATGATAATCCAGAACCATGCTTGTTATATTGTCCGAGATTTTTCTGTCGTCAATCTACTTTGCTTCTCTCATTCATATGAAAGTAACTCTTACTTGTTTTTTTTTTTTTCTTTTTAATTTTCAAAGCATCGATTTCATCAGCAATGTACATGAATGTATGTGAATGCCATTCTTTCAACAAAGGTCACCACAATCATCATCTTAATTGTATTTGAAGGTGTGATCTGTAATCGTTGCAGGCATTTGTATCAGATCTCAATAAGGGAATTTTCATTAAAATGCCGGTGATTGCTTCATATTCCCTTTTTTCCCTTCATCTGTATGTGTGATGGCACTTTTTTCCTTATTGATTCAATGTGTGTGTGTATATAATACATGTTGATGTTGTTTGGGATATTGGTCTTGGGTCGATGAGGCCTTCTAGATTGATGAGCTAATCTGTAGAATGTTGAGGGACATTTTAAGGTAATGTTTTCATTTTTTCCATTTTTAATTCAGGTTTGAAAGTGCACCATGCAAAATGCATATAACACAAGAACAATGTGTGTGTTTTGGAATGTCAAAAGCCCTACATCAAACCGCCCACAAAAAAAAAACAACTCTTTAACCGCTCAAACACTTCTATTTTATTTTATTTTCTATGGTTTTCTTATTTCTTTGTAAATGTTCAAAGAGTTGCTCAAATGCTTAATACGTTTGTGTTTTGAGCCATGATAAAGTTTGTTTTATTTTATTTTGTATTTAAAATAAGGAAAGGTCTCTATGCTTCCCTTACAGTATAGAAGTTCTATCCTCCCCCTACCATCCAGCCGTCCAATTTTGATCAAGAGAGCTACTCACCATTTGATCTTAGATCCGACGTCTCAAAATATTTTATTTTTATTTTTTATACAAATTGTATGAATATAAAATTTGGTACGTGTAATCTTTTCATTGGGACGCACCTATAAAAATTATTTAAAATAATTTTTTGATAAAATATAATGACCAAAATACCCCTTGAATTTTTCAGGGGTATTTTTGTCATTTTATGTTATTGATAGTAATGTCTTTATATTTTTCGCTAGTGAGAGTTTAATAGAGGAATGGACATCCAAAATTTGGTGTCAAAATAGTTTATAGAAAAAAAATTGAAAATCAAATAGTGTAGAGATATGACATTGTGATTGGGGCAATCTTAGCCCTCCATTCAGAATGGATGGTTGAATAAGGGGGAGGATAGAACTTCTATGCTGTTGGGGAAGCATAGAAAGTTTTCCCATTAAAATATGAGGCTAATATTTCGTTTCTTTGTCCATTGGGGGATTGGAGAGTAGGACTTTCAAATGGTATTGTATACAATGGGAACATTTATCTTAGATATATGGAGGTTACGATTACTTATAACCTTCCGATGCTAAATCTGATAGCATGGGTGTTTCATTAAGCTCGCGAAAATTTCCTTTGAAGTTTGATTTTGGTCAATGGAATAAATGCAGTTATTTAATGTCACATATAATGGTCATGATTAATTGTGACCACCTTGTAACTAAAGTAAAAATGTTGCATTGTATACTTTTCCCTTTCAAATTCTCAAATACTTAAGGCCAAGTTTGGATGTTAAAGAAAAAAAATATTCACATTGAAAAAAAATGCAATTTTTTTCCTCCTCAATTGAGAAACATTAGCGTTTTATTTTATTATGTTGGTAGACTGTTTGGATGTCTATTAAAATATGAGAAGAAAATTTATTTGACAGCGTTTGGATGCGTTGCAATAAATTCTAAATTCGTATTTTTTCTTTATTTTCTTATTACATAAAAACGTTTGACCAACCTTTATTGTTAACTTTGTTTTTCATGGGCTTGATAAACATATAATTTGGAAAAATATAAATTATTCCATGGACATAGAGAGGAGAATGAACAATTATATTTCTAATTAAGAGCGTTTTGCACCAATTTCAGAACCCATGAACGATAACCCAAGTAATTAATTATTATAATCCAAAGTATTGAAAATTTTCCACAAAAGAGAGTAATGGAAAATATGATTACAACTTTCCTATCTATGTGCCGTATTATACTCAACAATGAGCACAGTCATCCCAAAGTGCATTAACAATACGATCTCATTGTTCATCGCCATCATTTTTATCAACTTGAGGGTTTACATCATTATGTTGAATATTTGTTCCTTCAACTGATCCATGTTCAAGATCCCTATCATACTCTTCATTGAGCCAATCATCACCACCTGTCATAATTTGGATATGAATATGTTAAGTGCAAGCAACAACGACTATCTTAACTTCTGTTTCATATGGATATGTTGTAGCCACCTTCTGAAGAGATGAATGGCGAAGATTGAAGAGCTCCTTTGCATTTTTGTGGGGCCTAAAATTCCCCGACCATTAGCCTTCAAATGATATCTCACACCCCTAAATGGAGCTATGAAGCTTCGTTTGCTCGCATAATCAGCGTCGATGAGATAATATTTATCTGAATGCATATAAATGACAAAAGTTATATATATGTATTCTAAAAGTAATGGTATTTTTGTAGGAAGTGGATGAGGACTATGACATTTACTAGCAACCTTGAAATGAAATTTAAATATTCTACCGAATATAAAAATTTTTAAGATAAGGAAAATAACGGTGACATCTTGGAAACTTGAAACCAGATTTTTGTGTAGCTTTTAACACAGAAGAATCTGATGATAATCCCTTCCACCCAACAAGTACATATACAAAGTGAAGGTCAAAAGAACAAGCTGCCATTACATTTTGTGAAAAAGAGCCTTGCCTATTTTGATATGGAGCTTGCTCTTTAGCACCAATACTCAAAGGAATATGGGTACCATCTATTGCCCCATTGCAATTCTTCAAAAGCAAATCAATAAAACTTCAATTAAAATCCATCAATTGTTTCTCAAAATTATCAAAAGATACATAAATTTAAAATACATACATTGAAAAAAGGAAAATACATGCTTTTTTTGCGAAATTTTTGAGGTTTGCTACTTGAAGGTAGATAAACATAGTCAAATGATAATTTATATATTGTATTGAGAACTCTCTCAAAATGGCGACTAACGGTTTCACCTGAATGCTAGAACCGGTCTTGGACTCTGCAATTGCTTGAGCTCTTCCCCATAACATATAAGAACATTGCCAGCTGATCTTCAACCTTTATACCTCGAGTATCAATCAGAAGATGTCTACTTCAAAGAATCTGACAAAAATTTTCAAATACATTTACCTCTGAAAAAAGGACTTCATGTGATCTAGTCAAGGACTTAGTTTGCAATGGTTGCAATGGGCCACACACATTAGCATGATGTAATCCAAGTGGGCATTTTGCTCTCCATACTTTTCCTACTGAAAATGATATTTGATGTTGTTTCCATAAAGACAAGCTTCACAAATTTCACCATCATAACTAATTTTTTGTCATTCAACATTTCTTTTTTGTTCAATAATTTCCATCCATTAAAGTGAAGAAATCCATATCTCATTTGCCATAGTTGGGATTCATTTCCAACGCTTGCAGGCATGATTTTCTAAGCATGACAATTCGAAAGGGAACATCTTATTTTCAGCTATTAAAAAATTTGATATGGTCAAACCAGATTTTATTTTATTTTTAAGGAAAATTTACGTGTAGACGGGAAACAAGGTCCGTTATAACAGTTTGGCCCAAAAATGGGCCGATATTACCAAGAATGACAAAATCCTCAATTTTTTTTTTTTGACAACTTTGCCCCCAATCCGATGTTTCTAACATCGGATTGCACTTAACCCCTTCCCGCTAAAACCCTCACGATCTTGTTAAGGAATCTTTCGGTTTTTTTTTTTTTTTTTTTTTTTTTTTTTTTTTAAGCCTCGATCTAATGTTTCAAACTTCAAACCGATATTGGGGTTAAAAACCCCCAAATCTTCCCATTTTTCTCCCTCTTAGTAGATTTCATTCTGTCTCTCTCGAAAAACTTCTATCCCTTTGAAAACTTCCCTTTCTCTCTCTCGATTGCCACAACATCATCTCTCTCTCCATCGGATTGGATTGAATATCTCATCACCAGAGGATCGTTATTTCTCATATAAATCAAGCATATTTACCATCTATTTTTTATTTTTCTATTGCTTTTTTGCATGAATGTACCATATATTTTAGGGTTCTACCATTTCAATCAGTTCTTTTGTGGGTTCGGGTTCAACGATATTTTGATTTGAGAGTCCGGTTTCAAACTTAGGTCTATTAGAAGTTTCAGGTTCGGGTTCTCGAAAAACAGCCTTGTTTCTTGCCTCCTCAAAGAAGTCGGTATGTTTCTGTCTTAATCTTGCTTCAACGACCACCCATGTTTCTAGGCTGTAGAATCGATATCCCTTACCATGGTCTGGATAGCCAATGAAAATAGTCTTAACAGTTTTGGGTTGAAGTTTGGTCATATTTTGGTGCGGGATAAGAACATAGGCTGAGCAACCCCAAACTTTCAAGTGACTAAGGGAGGGAGTACGACCGGTGAATATTTTGTGAGGAGTAAGTGGAGCAGCTTTTGTGGGAGTTCGATTAAACATATAACATACCATCAATACGGCTTCTCCCCAAAAGTCTAGGGAAAGACTAGCATGCTCCATCATTCTCCTTACTATTTCAATCAAGGTCCTATTTCGTCTCTCGATAACACCATTTTGTTCGGGAGTATATGGAATGGTATACTGATGGATGATTTCATTCTCAATATATAGTTCTTTGAAAAGTTCAGATAAATATTCCCCTACCTCTATCGGTTCTAAGGACTTTGATTCTCAAGTTGGTTTAATTCTCTACCTCAACTTTATATACTTTGATTTTTTCTAGGGCTTCAGATTTTGTGTGAATAAGATATATATATATATGGCCATATCGTGAGTGATCATCTATAAAAGTAATGAAATATCTTAGTAGCTCTTTTTACCCTGGTGGTATTTTTCTTTATTAGTTTTCCTTACACATAAGACTCACACACATTCGATAAATCTCCTTTATAATTTTGAATACTACTGTCTTTTTTCAATCTTTCAATTCTTTTGAAATTAATGTATTCTAGCCTCATATTCCATAGGGTGCCATCTAATTCATTAGGGACGAGACATATGCAACGTTCTGTTTTATTTCAATAGTAAATAAGTCATCTACAAGGCGTCCGGTCATGACAACATTATTATCCTTCTTGACCACCACCTTCTCCCTAATGAAAGTAGTTGTGAATCCAACCAAAGACATCTTGGGAACCGAAACCAAGCACTTCCTCATATCAGGAGCATAAAGTACTT